GGGTGTAGTAACTTTCTGCTGCTGAAAATATGTGTATTGTTCATTGTACTGTTTTGCTTAGGAAAGTTTTATAGGTGTTTAGAGTTTTAGTAAGTTTTCACATCAGACTGTGAGCATAAATTTTGAAACAGATGAAAGAAAAAATTGTGAGTTTAAAACAGATACAGTAGAAAAGGAAAGCAGAGTATCTCCTTCCCATAGAGTATCTCTGTGACCTACTGGAGGAAGCACCATGAACTCTCCTGTTAATGCACTCTCTTGTTACACTTGGCACAGTAAAGAAAAGAATGTAATAGGCACTGGTCAGAGAAAAACCCAAGGGAGCTTTTAGCTTTCTGAAGATTCACTCCAGCCTTCCTCAACTATCTCTGCTTTTTACTCAGCCTGTTTGACATCTGACTCTCTTCTTGTGCAGCTTTTAAGGGTAAACACAGCTGCATGAATGCCATGCCCTCCAGGAGCCCAGGAAATGTGCGTACTGAAGGAACAGGCATTTGAATTTGTTCATGAGGACAGCATGGTTCTATTTGCATTCTGCCAGGCAACCCAAAAAACATCAGGAAATGGTAATGATAAGAGGATGCTGTCAGTAGCTCTGGTATGAGATGGCAGAATGTTAGCAGTTCTAAAAGGAAGGAAGTTGTACATGGTATACAAAAATACATAATTACTACATTTTTTCCTTTTCATCACTTTTCAGTTTGTGAGCTGTATGTAGTAGGTGCTGCAGGTAAGAATAGTAGCTCTGATATCTGAACAAACAGATGCTTTTGCAGACTATGGTCTGCCTTTTTACTGTCCTGAGCTCCCTCAAATGTGCAACAGTAGAGTTAAGATTAACTCTGTTTTTTGCTCTACCCCAGGGCAAGGAAATGACATGGGTGTGGTTCCAGCTAAACCCAGCCACATCTCATGGGTACTGACTGCTCCAGGAGAAGGAAAGTGTGAGACAGCACCAGCTCTGTGCCCTCTGTGTGACTGTCTAGGACAGGTTTCAAAAGAGCTGCTAGAGATCAAAGTAATCTTAACAGAAATCTGTATGCCACTTCACATGCAAACACACATTTTAAATATGTAATTATGCAACTGCACTCTAATAATTAGATTCCTCAGTTTATAAACGACATCAAACTTCTTAAAATAACCCAAGGAAATCACAAGAAAGACCACAAGAAGAAAGCTATGTTGCAATTTAGTGAGGAGTAGAGGGAGCCCATCTCCCTCATGTTACTGGAGACATTATAAAGATACCTTAATATCTAAAAAGTCTACTCATTAACTACATTTGAGGCACAATTCTTTACTCTTGTCAATTCTCCATGAATACAATTCCACTGATTTTGCTAAACTGTTCCTAAATAGCATGAGTGAAGATCAGTATTTAATTCTTATGGGTTCTGCACTGATAGTTACATTCACAATAATGATAATAATAATAATAATAACAACAACAACAAAAATATTGAATGCAGTAGGGATCAGTAGGGCTACTTCATCATTTCTGGCACTTAAATAACGTTAAGATAAGAAATTACACCATTTTAATAAATACCAGCCTGCTTTCTCATCCATTTTCTCTCTCTTCCTGTTATAGTTTCTCAGAGTTTAGTGCCCTCCTGTGGTAGTAGTGATTTCTCCTGTGAAATTATGGTATGCTGACACTTCATGATTCTTATTTATTTATTTTGTATCTGTTGATTATGCCATGGCTATAAATGGATAAAATGAAGTTGAATTATATATACACATCATCATATACACATCAGTTTAAAAAGTAAAGCAGGATGGAATTATAAAGGCACTATAAAGGTACAAGGAGAGCATTCCCCCTCTGATGAAAGGTAACAGGGAGCTGGCTTCCTCAGACATAGAAAAAGCTGAGGTACTCAGTGAGTGCTTTGCCTCAGTCTTCACAGGTGGTCAGGCTTCCCATGTCTGCCAGGACCAGGGGCAACAGCTGTTTAGGAGAGTGGATAGTGATAGGAAAAGGGGGAATGGTTTCAAACTGAGACAGGGAGGTTTAGGTTGGATATTAGGAGGAAGTTTTTCACTCAGAGTGGTGACACATTGGAGCAGGTTGCCCAAGGAGATTGTGGATGCTCCATCTCTAGAGGCATTCAAGGCCAGGCTGGATGTGGCTCTGGGCAGCCTGGTCTGGTGATCGGCAACCCTGTGCATAGCAGGGGGGTTGAAATTAGATGATCACTGTGGTCCTTTTCAATCCAGGTCGTTCTATGATACAAGAGAACAAAACACTGCAGTTTTGTATGAGATAAAGTGTAGTCAAACTTTTGAACACACCTTTTAATGACTTGTTCTCCTGCATATGCATGCTTTTAGCTCTGCTTGGTTACATATTTTACTGCTAAGATTTTTAAAATTGTACAAAGAGATGAGCAACTTTGTAAATATTTCTAGGAAAATGGGAAACTTGAATATGCTTATTAATAAGGTATAAGATACTAAAGCACAACTTATTTTGGGCAAGATATTCACAGCTACCAAGCTGGTGAGAATAATAGAAATAATGATACAAGTGTCTAATCCTGTGGATTATATTGAATTAACATGCTCGCTTGTTTATAAAATTCTCTGTGAAGAACAACTGTATTCAAAATGCAAGTTTTAAGAAATTGTTTCACATTTGCTGTTATAAATTATTGTCCAATTCTGCATAATTCTTAGACTTACAGCAAGTTTTCAAAGCTTCCACCCATGTAGCACACATGGCACTCTAAAAACAACCCAAACAATGGAAGCCTCTTCTGATGTGGGCTTCTTTGACATCAAATTATCAAGCTGTATAGTCTCTTTTTAGCCCATCTCCTTGAGAGTGTTCCACAGTTTAGCTCCAATCCTTTGGTTGATGGTTTCCATCTTTTCTGATCGCATGCATCTTAGTATTTTCCTGTTCTTTGCTAGCATACCCATTTTCTTCCCCTTCAAGAACAGATAATAGAAGCTGCCAAGGCCTCCTGCCTAATATGGTCTAGTTCCAAGACTGCAAGAAGCAGTTTTAAGCAGAAATGAGTGAAGATAGACAGGCATATGTGGTTTTCTATGGAGACAGAAAAGATAGAGAAGAAGACAAGAACAAAATGAGTGTATGTAGGGCTGTCTGCTGTAGGGAAAACTATGATGATTATAGACAGAAAGGAAGGTGACTAAGGTGTTTCTGCCCTGCCCAAACACTCAAGTTTTCCCAGATTCTTAGGGCCATGCACTGGCTGATGCTATCTCACAACCCAGCTGAATGTTTGGTGGTGCTGCTGGTTGGAGGTGTTGGCGCTGGCCTGTAGCCTGATAGATGTAACAAGAGAATCACAGGCTGGAAGGGGCCCTTTGTTGTAAGGAAATTAAACAGTAGTAGTATGATGTCAGCCTTGATCCAGTATGACTTAATACAGACTTGTTATTAATCCTAATAAAACTGAGCAGTGAGCTTATAGTTCTTGTTTGCTGCATCCTTTCCAATTTGTTTTGTACTCATCTTCACAGTTTTCCCTTGCAGCTGTGTCAGATATAGTAACCAGATAATGTTTCCAGCCTTTCCTTAGGCTCTAGCAGGTCCTTACACCAGATCCTGTCTGAAAAAATGCAGCACTTATCTCCCCATCCAGGGGAACCCTACTGGAGGGTTGTCAGGGCTGCCCACACGGCCTGTCCTTCCCAGCCACAGTGCATGCTGAGCATATAGATTAGTTATGTGCACCCTGTGAACATGATAAGCATCCAGGAGCAGCAGGAGTGGAAACACACAGGCACCCTCAAATGTAATTGGAAGGATTGGGCAGAAAGCAGAGAGACAAACTGAAGTAGAAAAAAATGTATCCAAAAGTCAGTACTTTGTAAGTAAGATAAGTATAAATAGTAAGATTTCAGTATAACCAAATAATTCACGCATACCTTATAAGCAGGAAAACAAACAAACAGACTGTGATGAAAACTGAAAAGAAAAAAATTGGAAACAATAAATAAGAAAAAGGTAATATCAAAGTGAAACGTTCATTGGCTGCAAAGTATGTTTTAAATTTCAGGGGAACAGAGGAAAGTCGTCAAAACGTAAGGTGATTCTTTATTGTATCTCGCTTCAAAGAAGCCTACCAGGGCCAATAGTATGATTTCTTATGTTGTTTACCTCTAGTTTCAAATAACATAAAACAAATAAACCAGTGAATAATTCTATAATTTCTGTACAGCAAATCTTATACTTGAACATTTTTTTTTCCCCCATGGCTGTCTGTAAGAATGTTAATTCTTGGACTTAACTTTCTTGTCAAACTGTTGAATTCATAAGAGGAGCTCTGCCATCTCTAATTAAAGCCAAATACTTTTTCTTGAGGTCATTACTATGAAATGTATATTGTATTGTTTATCAGAAGACAAACTAGTGGTAAACTTCTATATCCTCTTGAGTAACTATGCAGGTACTTAACATATTTGGAAGAGTCACATTTGTAATTTATTGTTCTTATTAGTCCTACTGCTTCATACTTCTGTTTAAATATGAAAAGGGGCAAGAAGATTATATGGGAGTTACTTATCCAGTAATCATTGATTGGGTCATTTCCTGAAATCCTCAGGTTTTACTACAAATACAGTTTGGGATGATTCTCTTTAAGTTAGATCTTCAGGCAAGTCTTCTGAGCATTGATATTTTCTGAAATGCTTGAGAACTCTGGGTTTGTCTTTGTCATCCCCACTGCCCTAGATATATTGTTTCCCAACTTGTAATTCAGTATTGCTATCCAAAAAGCTCTGAAGAATACTTTTTTCTTTTCACAGTGCTCACTTACTTTACCTGAATCGATGGAAAACCGTTGGACAAAAAGCCACTGTATGGGAACTGCTGAATCACAGCCTGAACCTCTGATAAACCACCTGAGGTGAGCAATGAGTCAGCCATGGGAGCAGAGGTGAAGGCAATTCACCTGTGCTGCCGGAAGGGGATGGAGCCTGGCTCCACCTCTCCTAGACCCATTTAAGAGCTGACTACCAGTGGGGAAGGATCTCCTCTGGAGATCTGCTCTGCTGGGGTTTCACAAGTGAGCACAGGATATGGGTAAGTGTTCTATCTTTTCTGCTTTAGTGTAGTAACTTCATAGCCAAGCTCTCTGGTATACTATAACATCTGTATATTCATTGATTGTACAAGCCACTGTCTCATCAGCCTTAATAGATTAAATATGCAAATGTTCACTGATATCCCTCTGTATTGTAGATTTAAGGAGAGAAAGTGATACACGTGTTATCTGGTACATAAACTCTGATATTTCAAATAACTGGCATCTCAGAAAAATAGTCTGTGTTTCATAGGCTTAAATGGAGTGTGATTAAGAACTGAACTAGTATAAAACACACGGCATTTTTTGACCTGGCTTTTGAAAACAGTCAGTTGCAGAAGGACTCTGTTATCGTATTTTCTTTCGTGTCTTTCTGTGAGTTACTGAAGAAGCTCCACTATCAGGAGATGCAAGTGCAGTGCTCTTGCTTTGAATTGCTTCATTCTGTGCCCCATCAGTTCTAACGTGTGTTACAGGAGTGAACGTGACTTTGAATAGGAGAGTAACCCTGGCTTTTCCTGATCCGCTCCTTACATTAATCACAAGTGATACTAAATACAATTGTGCTTAGCCCATTTTTGCCTGACATTCACTAAAACCATCCCAAGTTAATTGAATGGACTTTAGTTACATAGAATCAGAGTAACAGAATGGTAGGGATTGCGTGGGACCTCTGAAGATAGTCCAGTCCAACCCTACCCCTTGCCCCCCCTGCTAAAGAGATTCTCTAGAGGAAGAAATGTCCAGGTGGGTTTTGAATATCTCCAAAAAGGGAGACTCCAAAACTTTTCCGGGCATCTGGTTCCAGTGCTCTGTCACCCTCAAAGCGGGGAAGTATTTCCTCATGTTTGCACAGACCTTTCTATGTTCCAGTTTGTGCCCGTTGCCCCTTGTCCTATTTTGAGGTACCACTGAAAAGACTGGCCCCATCCACTTGACTCTCACCCTTTAGAAATTTATAAGCATTGCTAAGTTCCCTTCTCAGTTTTCTCCACACTAATAGTCCCAGAGCCCAGCTTCTCCTTGTAATGGAAGTGCTCTAAACCCCTCATCATCTCTACAGCCACCTGCTGGACTCCCTCAAATTGAGGAGCCCATAACAGGATGCAGTACATTGTTAAAATTGAGTTTGCTAAGAAATTGGCCTTTTAGTAGTATGCCTGTGATTTCTGATATGATTTAATTTTTCTGAGTCTGACATCCTGAGAATTGAAGTAGTACAACAGTTTTAAAACCAGTGAGTAATCACTGCTCTATCTATTATTAGCCAGTGAAGCTCCATCTATATTAGCTACTTTTCCCTCAGTCTGAAGCAGCTTTTTTCTTAATTGTCTTCATATTTTCACAATGCAAGGATGTTATTAAACTGCATTCTTCCTTGTAGAACTGATATCCTTCTCACATTCTTCCTGAATGCTTAAATGAACACTGAACCAAGCAGAGAATTTCTCTTACTCCTTGCATTTAAGAGCAGCCATACTATTTTGAAAGATATTTCTGACTGCTTATCATTTAGTATTTCACACCATAGCTCCTAGGAAATGCTAGTAGATAAGAGTGTTTTTCTATCTAAATGCTCTAAGATTCACGTTTAAAATAACACAAGAGAACTTCTTATTCCAAAGACAAGCAAGCTTTACACAATTCTCTCCTGGAACTTACTTCAGTCTTCAATAGAGTCAGCATACCAAGCTGCTTCATGAACCCTTCTCTAATGTTTTGAGAAACTTATTTCATGTATTTCCAATCAACATTCACATTTTTTCTTGTTGCTGTCAGTAGCAATCAGGCAGATGAATACAATGGGAGGGTCAGAAAGATAGAAAGGTGCTATAAGGGAAGGAAAAAAAATTGCTTACCTGAATTAAAAGATTTCAGGTTCACAGGGGAAAGCTTGACCAAGAAAGGATCTCCAGAAGAAGATTCTTCCCCAATGCCAGTCAGCCTTTAAATGAGGTCTAAGAGAGAAGCAGCCAGGCTCCAACCTTTCTGGTCATGCAGGTGAACTTCTGTCACCTGTGCTTCCAGGGCTGACCAGGTCCTTTCCCCAAGTGATCAATCAGTGGTTCAGGCCGTGACTCAACAGTTCCCATACACTGTCGTTTGTTGTTTTTTATTGCTGATTCTTTCTATTGCTTTTCTTTCTTATGAAACTCTGGAACACAGCCATCTTGCCTTGCATGATTATGTGGTACGTTGAATGAAATCACCATTTGAGAAGCTAGATTTAAAATTTTCACTGTGTGGATTCCTAACGCTGACCATTTCACCGCTGATTTTAATTGTAACAAAAAAATGGTCTCAGGCAGTGATAAGATAAGCAGTGTCATCCACTGCTGTTCCGGAACAGTTCAGTTTGTCACTACTGATCATATTTTATAGAAACAGTCCAGCGATAATCTATCAACTGCGGTGTGAATGATAAAATAGTAAACTACAGGAGCATTGCTCCATGTTTCCATACTGTGCATCTCAAAAGTTACCCAGCTAGCAGTTAAGGGATACGTCAGGAAATAGGGTCCTGCATGAGTTATATGGAAAATGTGATAGATTTTCCTCAGGTTTATTACACCCGTTGTGAACCTGGCCAGCAGAACTCAGCTTTGTGCAACAAATAATTCCAAGTGATATGTTTCAAGCTACTATCAATTTGCCAGTGGAATCAGTTGTTTCAGCGGGGTGTAAATAAATCTGTGCCAAATCCAAACAAATGGCTTTGCTGGAGCCCCATTTTGCTGCTTCAAAAAGCAAAGTAACCAGCAGGAGTTGCAAGGAGGTAGGGGATTCACCATTTCTTTAGTGTTATGGTCCATAATAGTGTTGCATTTAACTCCTGGCAGAGAAACTAATGATAGTTTAGTTCTTTAGTTCTATCTAAGTTTGTACATCAGTCTCTCCCAGCTCATACCTATTTAGGTCACCCTAAAAACTAAACCAGTTCATGCATAATTTAGTGGATTCCAAGTGAAAACAAAACAAAAGAAACAAAAAATCTATTCACCTACTAATTTTTCACTTGTGTAATTCACAAGGATAAATTCACAGCTTTGATGCTGCCTTGTCAGCTCTGCCCTATAGTAGCTTCACTTCCAGACTGCCCTTGATGATTCTTATATGTGCCCCATGAATACCTGGGGATAATTAAGCATATGCATGTAACAGATGGAAGGGAGAAGGAAGAAGGGAGAAAGAAAATAGCAGGCAAAACAAATCATAAAGCAAGGTAAATGTGTAAACAACTCTAGATGGTTAACTTTGAAAAAGCATGTATCCAAGCTGAAGTCATGTACAGGCCTGCAATACCTGTGTTACTTTAAGAGAAATGTATTTTCTTACTTGTTAACAAAATGTCCGTCTGTAAAATCATAAGAGCTAAGCTAACATCCAATTTGTAATTCCCCATCAAATTCAAGACAAAACTCACTTTCCGTAGCATGGATACACAAAATTTATTTCACAATTTTCCCTTCAAATTTTCAAGCTCTGTAACTGTGTGGGAAGTATAGTATATAATGCTATTTGCCTGTATGTTTCTTCCTACAAAATCAAAATTCAATCAATAGGATTCGTTCCTCATTTATGAATAGTTGTGAACAGTATAAATGCTTCCTAGTAGAAAGCTAAGGAGAAGAGAGAGAGGCATATATAATACAGAGAAGATTCTCCATTATGTTTAGTCTCCTATGTTCTCCAGGTACCATATATACAAGGGTTATACTGAGGTATTCTTGTTAATGAGCACTTGTTATTTATTTTTTTCAATTGTTCAGAATGGAAATGTTTTTCTCAGTATATAGAAAACATAATCCCCCCAAAAACAAGATCCTCCCCACCCCCCCTTTGTTTCACCCTTCGCAGCGCTCGTTTTCTTCTTCTTTTTATGTTAATCTATGCAGAATGAAAATTACGTGTAATTTAAACCATAAATCTTGAAGATTTATTGCTGCATCACACAGGTTTTTTTTTGTCAGTGAAAGTTGGGTGGTTTTTTTGTTGTTTGTTTTTTTTAAAATTATTTTCTATTTTATTTTTTTATAAAGATTCCTCTGGCTTGCAACTAAGCTTCCCAGAGTCTTTTATTCCCTACTTCTTTCCATCCCTCGGGTACTATCTGTCTTCTCTTACCCACGTCTGGATCCCTTCTCTTTTCACCTGCTTCTGATACCCCTCATTCTTTCATTCCTTCTTTAATCAGCCTATCCTCATATGCTCAGGTTCATTCATCACTCTCTTCCCAACCAGCTCAGAATATCTCAGACTTGCAATATTTTCCCTTACGGAGGAAACAAGGATATAGAAGCAATATAAGATTTCTGCTGCTTCCACAGTTGGCCTTCTGCTTTTCTTGCACATTTTCCACATATTCTCCCCTTTTTTTGCCTAGCAAACTAAGTTTCCTGCTCTCTGAAAGAGATTTTTGATTCAGGGCTTAGATGCTCTCACCTTCTGGTGTTAGGCATTATCCCTGTGGAGCAGCAACCAAGCAGTTTATGTCACCTCTGATACACCCTTGTCTCTTTGTGAGTATCTGATATTTTACATATGGAAATACAGACTGCTTCAGAACTGAACTAATATCATCTGTTCCTGACGCTTTGTTCCCACCCAGCACAGTTACTTTGCAAGTGTTAGTCCTATTTGCAGTGAATAAATGTTCACGTTTGAACTCACTGATGATGTAATTCTATGGACCTAATCCTTAAATGCTTAGTTTGTCTATCATTAGACAGAGTTTGCATTAAACTTACTGGCTCAAGGCTTTTGTTGTGATAATGTAATTGAAAAAGCAAAATAAGCCCATCAGAAGCATTCATTTTTATCTCTTTCTTAGATGAGGAGAAGCAATGAGAAAACAAACAGTACTGCAGAGGTCTTTAGGCGTTAGAGGCAGAGTGAATGGAACTGCTTTTTATAAAGGTTTGTAACGGCATGTTAGAAATAATTTTTAGAAATAATTTTCATTTCTTTGAAATTAGCATCTTAAATTCCCTGGGGCTTTTCTGCAGGTTTAAAAAGCACAGAGAAGAATACTGTCCCCAGAAAAGCTATTCAGTTTAATGTTTTCCTTCTTCGCTTGCAATAAATCATTTTTCTCAGTGAGGCTGATCTTACGTGCTGCTCCATGGTTTCAGGATACTTCTTGCTGCACAGTATCCATGGATGTAATCTGTCATAATATGATCATGCAATTTGCTGCGTTTAGTCATCTGCAGCTAGGATCTTGTACGTGGTATTTTGATTTGATATACTGTGAAGGAGTGTGTTCTTCTTCTGCTTTGTTGTTAAATTGTTTTTCAAGAAGTATTCTTGCTTTGTCTCTTTCTTTCACAGTGATATGACAGTGTGTAATGGCAGGAATAGCACTGCAGCACCTCATGGAGCACCTCTGCTGACAGACTCACCAGTTTTGTTACGAAGGTATGCAAAGCTCTCACTTAGGTAACACAGTACAATATTTTTTTCTGTCTGTTTTAGAATTTAGAGATTCATGGTCACTCACTGGCTTTGTTTGATCTCAGACATGATATAACAGCCATATCTATTTAATCTGACATTGATTTTCATCAATAAACGTTAATCATTTAAAGGTGAGGCTTTTAGAAAGAAATGTACTATTCCTGAGAATCTTTCTGTTCTCAAAAAAAAAAGTGATTTTTCTTATTGTGGTCAAAACAAAAAATAAAATTACTACGTGGTAGTTGGGTTGGTGTCTCGCTCCAATTTATAGGAGACAGAGGAGGTTCTTTGATGTATGTATAGCCAATGTGAGATTAAGAAACAACGGTTCAAATGTTGGTCCGACCAGTTTATTACAAATCTGAATCAGGAAGATGGGAAAGGGGTGGCTGCCAACTATTATGAATAAAGGTGGTGGGGAAGGGAAAGCAGACAATAAGAAAGATAGGAAAGAAGAAAGAATTACGTAAAGCAGGGATAGTCACCACCAAGATCCAGCAGCATCCCGTTGCACGCCATGATGGTCTGAGGCAAAAGTGCAGGGGAGAGCAGCAGCAGAGTGGCTTAGGCAGCTAGCAGGTACAGACAGAGCAAGTCCAGGAGATTTCATCAGCATGCAGGCATCACAACATGAGGCATCTGATGTCAGACACCTACCCTCTTGGTTGTAGGTCCCTTCTTTATCCTCCTTCTGACAATGCTGTATTCCTGGACACTTTGGTAAGAGTCAGGTGCAGCACCCCTGAGATGGCAATCTCCCTCAAGATGAGTCTACACAAAAGACTGCTTCCCATCCATTAACCTGCTGCTTATTTCTCTCATTGCCCCTGGCCTGCAGATCTTCAGACAAAAGATTTTTCCAACTTTGACCTGGATTTGCCTATCTCTGTTCCTCAGTAAGCTTTGAGACAAAAGTGCAAAGAATCTCTTACTGTTGGTCAATATCAAGATATTGGCCTGATAAAGGACAAATGTCAGATAACTCTACCTCACCATTTCTGGTTATTGCTTATGAATATCTCCTACCCCAGGGAATCTCTTGATCTTAAAATGGCTTAACTTTGTAAACTTGTTGGTGACAGAGTCAAGGATAAGGGAACTTACTCTAATCTATTGGGCTGGGCATTCATCTGTCATACTGGGAAACCAACTTCATGTTCCAGCCCCATAGGCACAAAACTTTCTCTTAGAGAAGCAGAAGTGAATTATGGATAACTCAAACACAGTACTGAAAATTACATTAGCATACATAACACAGAGAGGTTTAAATATAATTATAACAGCTGCACACAACAAAGTATACAATAGTAGAAAAACAGTGGGAACAAAACTATTCCTGCTGAGTAACCTTTGTGTGCTTAGAGAAGCAGATTCCAGTCTTTCTTTGTTTTGTAGAATCTAAATACTTGCCTCGAACACTTTTTTTTTTCTTTGCCAAAAGCCAGTATGCAGCACAGATGTTGAGTTAATGATCAATTCATATTAAGCCTCAGATGAACGCCAAGAGTAGAAAATTCATAGCAAATATGCCCCAGAATACTCACAGAATGAATAAACTCCTTTGCTTACAGGGAAGTTTTTCAGACTCAGTGGTTGCAGCTTAGGGCTGTAGAGATGATCAACCAGGTTGCCACAACTATACGTTTGCCATTGGCAAAGTTGGGGATGAAGACAAATGTGTGAGGCTGAGGAATTTTTGCCTAGCTTGAAACCAATGGAAAAGGGTCTCTTAGTCCTGTTCTTCACCTAGAATCAGTATTAGCTTCTGCCCATCCAGCAGAGAGTTCACCTTTAATTGAAACAGCCCAGACATTCTAGAGCATTTTCAAGGATATATTTCAAGTCCCTTCAAAAACTGTTCAACTTTTAGTTTAAGCTTCAGTGGAGTTGATTTCAACTATCTGAGTACATTACATCCCTCCTCTATCTGTTGGTTCTTGGTGTAAAATATTCACCAATCCTTTCTTTGGAGATTGAGAACCATTTTGATAGCAGTGGTAAAATTTATGGCTGTAATGGTTAAATCTAAAATGAAGGACTTAGTGATTATGGCAACTAGTAAACAGTGCTGGTAGCAGGTAAACTTGATGCATTTGTGCTTTTCTGAAAGTTCTCTTCATCAGCAAGGTAGAAGAAGCAAATGTCTTTGTATATGTTTCTATAAACATTTGTACGTCTGGATGAATTAATTGCACTCTTGGTCTCTCCTTTTTCCACTTTACTAGATCTTCTCTGTTTTCTTCATAATCACTCAGAAAACGTTTCCATTTTTATCAGTGTTTTGTGCCTTGCTAAATGTTTTATATTTTAATACCAAGAATACTTTTTAGACTGCATGACTTTAATTCACCTGTATTTGTATTGTTTCAATAGTCTTATTATACAAGCATGTCTCGTGATTTCTTAATACTTTTTGTGGGAAGAAAATAATTCCTGAGCTCTAAGATAACAGAAATCTTCCTTTCCTGTCTTTCGTTCTCTCCTCACCTAACATCCACAGTAATGCATTACTGGAGTGATTCTAGGAAAATCAAACTTAGAAGTTTTAGGGTTCAGCCCTGATTCTTCCCATAATAATCCAACTCTACATAGCAATCTTACTGAAACGCCTACTAGGGGATCAAGAGCTGAGCTCTATGAAACAAGAAGCTTTAGTAGCAGCCCTAGACAGGCTCCTCTGCGTATACACTTCATATGGTTACTATTCATTCTATAAATTAATCCGTTGTTATATTATTTTAACAATGAAAACTAAATGCATCACACTAAAATCAAATCACTATCCTCCATATCAGTCACCAGAGGTCTCTTGATTTCTTCCAAGCAAGGATTTTGTTATTCAGACATTCCACACCAGCTGTCAAATGGTCCAACTCGATAACAACCAATAAAGCAAACACCCCTTAAAAATTTCCCTGGGGAATCTCTTTAAATTGAATAGGGAGTAATAAATCTTGTAGTGTCAATAATGGTGAAAATGTTAATTTAGTCGACTTTACTATGTGCCTCAAGTGAAATTTCAGATGCTGTTCTGGGAAGATGACTGCTGCTTGAATTCAGACCGCCTTTCTCGGCCTGCAGCACCAGTATCTGATCTGTGGAAAGGGCGATGTGACTTTGGCTGTGTGACAAACCAGTGTTGTGGTGATCAGGTTTCCTTATGAACCTTTGAAATCTCAGCTACTGATTTTAGTAATGCTCCTAGATGGAGGTTACGTGACAGGGAGAAACGTGCTGATAAGACTTTCTGTGATGGCTAACCTAGGCAGTCCGTAAGGGCAGCAGAAATGCCTGCCTGTTTAGCATAGCACGAGTATGATTTACTGCGCTGCACGGAGCTAGTTAAGCAGAAATATGAATAATAAAGAAATTGTTATTGAAACTGGGTAGAAAAACAGTTGCAAATGTAGTCTATTAAGGGCATTTGTGAAGATAAATTGTACTAGATGTCCTTTTCATCCTTTATAGCACAGTTTTGTTTTGTTTTTTTCCCCTCACAGATGTCATTTTTGGGCATTAGACAAGTTGTGTTTTTTTTCCTCCTGCTGTACTGACATTAAACATTTTGGGAAATTTGTTGCATTCTTAAGTGAAAGCAGTATTGAGAGAACTCAAACCTTTAAATCTCACTTTCGCTATGTTATTTTTGTAGAAGATACCCGTTTGAGGGATATTCCCAAAAGCTGCGAACAGGGCTCAGGCCCCGGCGCGCTGCTTTCCGTTGCGCAGCACGAGCGTGCCGGCAGGGGGCGCTGGCAGCACGCGGCGGGCGCTGCCTCAAGGCGGGAAGGCTGGCGCCCTTTCTGAGGGGCTTGGGGTGCCTGAAGGGCAAAACCTCTCACAGTAACAGGTTGTTAAGAGACTCGGTGCAGATAGATAGAAATAGCCTAATCTCCTAAACTCCGCACGGAGTCTGAGAAAGCACTGAGTCACATCTTTACATCCATATTTCTGAAAATCCCCAAAAAAATAATAAAAATAAAAATCCTCGGTAAGTCTTCTAAGTGGACCACCTGCACTATCCTTTCCTCCAGGAAGTTCAGTTGAATTGTGTTTGATTAGATTAGATTTTAGCCTTCTAAAAATTTGCTGATTTCTTTTTAATCTGCTAATTACTCTGGAGCATTCCATGTAATCATACTGTAGTTGTTTGCCTAGTTATTTTCTAATACAGATTTAGGACCGTCCTGAAATCTAATCTAGTAATACTCCAGACAAATGTGTACTCTGTGCTTCTGAAAAGCTATGCCCTCTTAATAAGATGAAGGCTTTTCAGTGTTTTCAAAGTCAAAAAAAGAGGAAATAATAAGTCACGTTTTCTAGAAGTGGGATCACTTTGGTAGTGCTGAACCCAATTATACTGACCAGTGAAAATCGCTTGGTTCTGACAACCTGCAATTAGAGATTAGTTTTCTTCCTTTCTGTAGCAATGGCGATTTCTGTGGACAAAAACAATGTTATTATGATGATGTCCTATTCTGTAGAATAACCTGACCTCTGCCTGTCTTTGGGCAGCACATAACTGAGACATCGAGAGTAGGCTCTCAAGTGAATTCCTGTTGTGGGAATTACATGGCTTAGTATTAACTTTTTATTTTCCAGACAGCTAGAGGAATTCATAATTCTGAGACAAGTTTATGAATTCTGTCATCAATTCTTGGATCTAACATTCACCTAAAAGTGGGGTTTCTTATGCATGAAGAAATGGCAGAGCAGCTAAATGGTGCAGAAAGGCTAGTGAAGTGAATGAACCAGGTGCAAGTCCTTTTCAGTGCCTCTGAGAAGCACTCTCTCATGACTCTCCTAAGCTTCCTTGTTGAAACTGCTCTACTTTGAAGAAACAAATACTGATTTTTCTCATAGACTTTAGTTCATTTTGTCTTATACCATATAAATCCGAAGAATTTCTCTCAAACAAATGAATATTTTTCTGTGCTAAAGAAAAGCTTTACAAGGAAAGACTGAGAACCAATTGCTCTGCAGTTTGCAGTGCAATACTCTCCTACTGGTCGGTTTGTTATGCCCATGTTTTGTACTGCTGTGGAACTTTTTTTTAACCCAGATTTTCATATATCAAAATAAATCTTTTAATGACCTTATGGATGGATCCTCTTCCCTCTTTCATGGAGTTGAACATGCTCAGAAAGTAACTTTTAGCGAGAAAGGAAGAGGAATATCTGTTATGAATCAGCAGTTTTTAAGCGTGAAGAACTCAAGATATGGAAATAGTAATATAGAAATGCTTTCCAGCCTCAAGATGGTCAGAAAGGACCATTGCACACTGCTATGAAGTATAAATGGAGCCTGACCATTAGACATCACATATTTTTCCATCTGAATGTTGCAGTGATTAAAAAAAAAAAAAAAGAAAATACCAAGATAAAGAATCTTATTTTGGAAACCAAGAAAATACAAACCACATATTGTTTAAGAAATTTCTCTGTAAATGCCACTTGAAGCTTCACTACTGCTAAAGTTATTGGACCTTGGGATTTTATTTATTCAGTGAAATGAGTTTAAGCAAGTTGTTCTCCCTGTGGTTGTTTTTACTCACTGGTGATGCATTTTGTTATTGTGATCTGGACTGTAACAGAATTACACTGGTTTCAGGATTTGGTTTAGAGATTTCTGTTGAATGTACACATCCATTACAATTTCAGTTGCAAACCATTAACATAATGGGAGATGTCTAAGAATTTTTCCTCCTTTCTTACTGTAGCAATTAGGCAGATTAGTGCAGTGGTAAAGGAGTTACAACAAAGGTAAGATGAGGGAAAGACTGACACAATAGAGGGATGTTATAAAGGAAGGGAAGAAGATTGCTCACCCATATCAGAACATTCTAGGTTCACAGGGAGAAGCTTTCACCTGTGCTCCCAGGGCTGACCAGGTCCTTTCCCCAGATGTTCAATCAGTGGTTCAGGCCATAACTCAATTTTTCCCATACATTTATATACTTAGTACTAGATTCCAGTGTTGAATTCACAGGGTAGATTTTTCTTTTTTTTGTAGATAAAATGAGAAATCTGAATTAGATTTGTACCCTATCCTCATATTTTGAGCTTCTGAGATCTGGAATCAAATCTAAGTGTTGAACTTTTTGAAATATTGATCTCTCTAAGTTTGCATTATATTTACTGAAGAGAAAGGAGTATCCATTGGATATTGCTATGTGTTTCTCTAGTGGATATGTTTTCTGTGTTGTCTATAGTGATTCCTGTGAAATACTATTAACAGCAGGAGATTACTCTGTAAAGTTTATGATGGTAGTCTTGCTGATGCAAGCAGATACTTCCTATTACATTTGATGTTCTATTTCAATAACAGATTGCCAGCTGCGAACTTTATACATTTTATTCCCCATACAGGCAATATATGGGTCTATGAGTGTAGTTTTGTAGATTCATTTAGCACCTAATGCACTTTTAATGAAGGGTGTTGTTTGTTGGGGTTTTTTTTACAGTATCTCTTTGTAGGACTTGTGATGATGAATTTTCATAGTGCTTCAGAAAAGAGGTATTTGTAATTTCCAAAATAGTTATGAAAGTCAGATACTAAGTTTACTGAAGCATGCTGCACTAAGAGGGGAAAAAAATAAAAAAAAAATAAGTTAATAATGCTGGGAAACCTTGCATAAAACCCAGCACAGACTCATGACATTTCATTCCATGCTTTCTGCCACTGAAACATGCAATCTAAGCCAATGAGCTGTTTCTGCTGGAGAGCACAAATGCAAAACAAGTCAAATATCCTTCCAGCTACTCATCTCATCAAAACATATTTGACAAAATACCTAATTGATGCCACTGATTTTTTTTTATTTTTTTTTTCACAATTGCAAAAGAATGAAAGTGTATGGAGAAATCTCTTCTCAAAAACACTGATGTTGATCAGAATGCGTAAAGCATTTGTATGACTGTCTGTGTTGGGTGAACCAGTTTGAAGACCTCCTGTGTATGTTACAAATTCACATTTAATTTCTGATTTAGAAGGCTAACAGAGGTGGAAGGAGTGTGTGTGGGGGGGGGAACTTACCTGAACAGAACAGTCCAGAGGAAAGGAGGCAATCTGACTTTGGGAATTTAAGCTAAAAACACAAAGAGCTGTTAAACAGCAAGCTAATAGCTTGTTGTTCAAATGCAGACTGTAGTTAGTGGTTTATGTAGAATTACACAAGACCATGAACCAAAATGAACAACTTGAAAAATTGGTGAGAAAGGTTCTCTAGCTCTTTATTGAAGAACTCTTTGATAGATTTTTTTCTGTATTCTGTAGACAAAACTTCTTAGTAACATATGGAAAGCAGTCTGCTTCTCGAGCAGTTTAACTCATGATTGGTGAACTAGGAGGAAGTAATACTAGAGGAAAATACTGCCTGCAAATGAATTGAAAATGTCCCAGTATTACCAAACTACAATAACTAAAATTAGAACTTATTAATACTAATGTGTTACAATATTTAAATGACTATAAATCACGATGTTTCAGGGCACACTCATACTGTAGCTTAAGCCAGAATTTTCTTATCGAGGCTACTATTCCAAATTTTTAAATGGAAAATGTACAAGAAATTCTGTTCTGTTTGAAGTAACTCGTACTGACTGCTACCAGTGATACCACATAAAATTGCATTAACTGTTGTTTTGGTAAAGAACATATTTTTCCTCTCCAGTAGCAAATGCTTCCAGACCATATGGAGTAAATAGCAAAAAAAACAAAAAACAAAAACAACAACAACAACAAAAAGACAAGTGGAAAAAAAATCAGCCAGAAATAATCTGTAGCAAGGAGCAGTCTTTTCAATTAAATACATTTATCATGGGAAGTTCTTATCTAGACCATGAGACAGCAGATAGATATTCTTAAATGAAAAGTGTAATATCCTCTTTCTCTATTAAGATGCTTCATAACTACAGTAGGTGACAGTTCTTAATGACAATTGTTCCCTGGAGAATTCTGAAGCAAGAATTTACTTAACATATTAACTAGTGAACCAGTATTTCACATTATCCTTGCTTTGCTGGACCACACTTACTTAATAAGAAACATAAAAGAGTCTTGTGCTCATGACATTTTTGTTATGTTTTTCCTTTTTCAATTCTGCCTTTTCCTTGTCTGTGTCTGAATGTTGGCCCTTTTGACTGCTGTTTGCTTTCAGAGTTCAGCTGCAACTGATGATACTTCAGTATGTTTCTTTTCCCTCTTCTGCTAGAGTTCACATTACTCTGCCTTGTCTTGACACCAAACTCAAGTAACAATTCAGAACCTGAATTTGATGGGCTTCACATTCAAGATCCAGAAATTAGATAATCCTGCGATTAAGTCTCAAAAGACAGCCCACCTAGTTAAATGCAAGCTGGAAAGATACCACAAAACACAGTGGAAGATGTCATTTCCTTTTGTAAGGAAGATCCCCACAGCCTTGTGTGTAGAAGCCTGTAATTGCAGAAGAATTAGATGTATCTTCCTTTCCTGCCTTACAGAGTTCAGACCCACATGTCCTATTTTCTTGCCTGGTTCTGGTGGCTAATTGCATATATGTGTGGGCAGTGTTCTCCAGGCACTCTGGTGAATCTGGATCGTTATATTGAAAAGAACTCAAGATTGACTGGGCCAGTAAGATAATAGGAGTATGAATAAAGCTTCATGGGTAGGGCAGGACATGATAGATGGATAGCTCGAGTTCTCCGAGAATTCATATTTTATTCAGTGCCATTTCATCATCTCCCCTTTCAACTGTGTTTTAAAAAGAAAAAGAGTAGTCCCTGCTTAGCTATTTCAAAGATGGGTCACAGACACTTTCTTTCAGGAAAGGGCTAAAATCTGTGAATCTGCAGTAGATAAAAGCATTTTCCTGCAAAATGTGAAGCACAGAGTAGGTCAGGGTCACATTTCAAACATCCTCATGCTTAGTGTTTCCTATAACAGCTGCTTTCAAATAGCACCTCCTCCCCCACCTTTCTCCATAGGACAGAATAAATTCTTGAAATATATATCAGGAGTGTCAGAATGCCCAAGGAAAATCCATCTGATTACCTTTTTTTTTTTTTTTTTTTCTTCCAGCACGCTCTCTCCTTGTGGCAGCAGCTACATGAGGACTATGAGAAAACAGGCTTACATAAGAAAAGGACATACTTCCAACAAATCTCTATGAACTGGGACACAAGGCCTGAGGTGAGCAGTGGGGAGGGGGGCATACAAACCTTCCTTAGTGCTGGAGTTTAGATCCCTTGGTTTCCAGGTAGGCAATGAGAGTGCCAGATGAGAGTTGGTGTGCAACACCTGCTTTGCTGGAGGTTGAGATGAATAACTAGAGCTTGTGTCAGACAGTAAATATATGAATTTGTGAGAGGATAGACACAGGAACCTTTTTTCAAGAAAGCAAGAAGCTGGAGACTAGAAAAAGGGACCAAATAACCTTGAGAAGAACCAGAATGCTAGTGTCTATCCTTAATATGCATTTTAGCCTTCTTTGGTTGCTCTACCTCCTTGTGCACAGCTTGTGCAGTTGTGGTATGTTATGCAACTATCTGGAGACCTTTCAGAGAGTTGGTATGACTGTGGAGTGCCTGATTTTCAGGTGCTTCGTCTCCTTGCTACCTTTGACTTTGATACTGTGGAGGGTGGTGTGTGTTAGGTGGAGAGGGAGAAGCTAAAGATAAAACAGAAATAAGTACTACTTTGGTACATGCATTTAATTGTCTGTATGCAACGGACTGATGGTTGCTGTTAAATTACTGGCTACTTCAGATTCTTGTTTTACTTGGTGCTCTTCAAATGCTGCCTTCCTCCAGAAAATTCCTTACAAAATGCCATCACTTCATTATCTTGTGCTTTGTGATCTTTCTCAACATCTTTGCAAAACCAACCCATATTAGATATTCTGCCAGCTAGTGAAGAGGACAAGGATAATGCATCATTTTCAACCTGTGAGCTGACCTATGTTCTATAAGTAAGCAGAGAATATCCATTTAATGAACTTCATTGCTGTGTTGAGGGGTCCTGACTGCACTGTAGAGCAGCTTGAGAAGATGAGTTACACTAGTCCAACTGGTGTACAGGATATTCAGATGAAAATTAAGTGACTTGAAGAGTGCTACATAAGAATTTATTTCATTGAGCAAATTTAAACTTCACGTCTTTGAGTCAGACTTTAAACATTCATAGTAGGAAGAAGTGCACAGTAACGGTGAAGGGCAGAACTACAAATGACTCCTAATCTACTTTGTATTTTAAAATACGTAAATACGTATGTTATCACAGAAACAACTCGACGATGTGATGGTTTTGCAACATTTCTATCTAACAGTGTTTCTAACTATCAGAAATATTTTCTGATACATTTTTCTTATGTCTGTAGGTCACAGAGATATATAAATTCAATATATTAAATATAAATTCAGATGTTGATGTAGATACAAATATAGCGATAGGGAAAGCAGCTGTGAGGAATACATTGGTTTTGAAAACTTAGAACTGTGGAAAGACTTTTTAGTGAAGACAAGGGAATACTGTCTGTCTTCGTCAATAGAGCTGGTGAACAAGCAGCATGTTTCAACATCCTTCTCTAGAGCTACAACATATATTTTATTACTTCGAGCTGTTTTCCAACTCTTTGCATTCAGACATCAAAGTTTCTGCAAGTTGTATGCTTCCTGTATTGTACGCGAATACTCAGAAATGTCTGGCTTCCTTTCTCAGTGTGCTTCCTTTCAGTGACCTCCATTATAAGAAAAAGAAACCTTTAGGGGAGCTTATGTGAGCTGTGCACATCCTTCAGTTTTGCTCCCTGGGTTTTCACTTCTCTGGCAACTTTTTCTCTACTAGGATGCTGTGTTTCAAGTATTCACTAACACATCATGCAGTGCAACACTCTAAGTTTGGGGTTTGCGGTTTTCATTCATTTGCTTTTCTCCATCTGTCTATAATTTCCATTTTCATCAGAAAAGCAAGTACTTGACTTCTTTCCTTACCCTCTTTTTAACTATTTCTAATGCTACAAAGGTAGAGGAGCATGCAAGATTTTGTGATATTAAATTAATACTTGGCTTCTCAGATAACAACAAGATCAAAATCCAGTTTTAATGTTTCCAGTATATTTTCAGCATGCCCTTGATCTTGCTGTCTGCTATTGTGGTTGGCTCCCACTGGTAGAAGCAGGTCACATCATGGTCTAGATAATACACTGTCTGATCTTCAGCTTCACATCTTTTCTTTACAAGGACACAGCCTCTGAAGCACTTAGTTCTAGATCGGTTTTCCATAAACATTATAAGACTTGTAGTCCCACTGCTCTTCAGTCAACATCTTATCTGATTTGTGGAACAGAGAGAGGAAAAATTCCTTCAGGTTGTTTGGGTTTTCTATTAGTGGATGCAGTTTAGTCTTCTTATTTAGAGGATTTTTTCTTTCAAGTATTACAATTGATAAACAAAAATGCTTTTGACCTTCCTTTCAGAGATTTTTCCATGTATTCGTGCAATTTACAGTCAGGATTTTTTTCTTAAACTGGGTCTACATTTTTACCCATTTCAACTACATGCCTGTGTGTACCAAGGTTTTGCTTCTTCTTTTGAGCAAAAATAAGTACACCTACATACTAGCATTCATATTGCTGTTCACTCTTGCTTTACTCTGTTTCCTGAATCTGATGATATAGCAGTGTTTTGGGGGTATTGCTTCCAGCACAGACTATTTTGGTCAGCTCCAGCGCAGATTTTGTCTTGATAACTCCCTTGTCCCCTGTTAGGACTTGCTGCCTGACTCAAGCCAGTCAGACACTTGTTTTGCACAGTCATGTTTTATGCTCTTGAATATGAGGCCAGCCCAGGTCTTAATTAGCAATGACACATTCCCCGAACTCTTGGTTGGTAAGCAGAATATAAACAACTCTTGGTTCATAAGCAGAAGATAAACAGCAGTTGCAGTATTCTTGGCTAGGAATCATGCCCTCAGTGCCTATGCTTGATGTGCAGGCGTAGTCCCTAAGCCGCTTATGCTCATGTCCATCTGCTGCAATGGCAAAGTGCCTTCTCACAAGTTGTTTGGACTCCTGCCTTGGGGGCAGAGGTGCCAGGCAATGATCAGCAGCCAGCATGACAATGCAGGCATCATTTCTTCTAAAAGAGCAGCTCCTTTAAGCAATTACTGTAGTACAGGCTGCTACCATGGGCCTCTTAGAGCATGATTACACCTGCTGGAAATTATGTGCCAAGAAAAGAATACATTAACCATACTGGAGAGCAGTCCAACCAGTGCAGTGTTATTTTTAGCTGCCAAGGAAACAGGTTGCATGGCTGCAGGGGTATGAAAACACATCAGTAGTTCTCAGAGTGTCAAAAAAATAAATAAATAAATAAAAATCTCAGCAGGCCAAAACAGCCTAGAGGCATATCTGATGCAGGCTATGCTATGGCCTCAAGTAGCAACTGAAGCAAAACAACAGTAACAGAAGTGGTGTGAGAGCTTTCCTCACAAAGTAATCAAATCAAGAAAAAACAGGTTAGATTTTTGATACTCTCTTCAAAGTGAACGAGAAGATCCTGACCTTATTCTTCCCGCTGAATGAACACCTGTGATATGAGCTATAAAGACAAAGATATAGTAGGAAAATGAGAAGGTGAAATGGATGTTTTGTAGGCATGATTAGGTAACCCTACAGAGTAGTGTGACTGAATACAGCACTGCTAAACTAGTTTGCTGGGAGAGAAGGAAATTCTCATCCCTCTATGCAAGTGCAATAGAGGAGTAAGCATTTAACAAACCTGATTGAAGGAAATCCATTTCCAGTCTCTGTTTTTTCCCAGGAGTCCTGTTCTCCCTTTCCTTCAGCTTAAGGTACAGTAGCCACATGACAACAGGAGCAGCTCATCAGCTATGGGTACTGAATCCAATTATCTTCTGTCTTAACATGTTTTTACATATCCCAAGGCACTTGCTTTTAGGAAGGAGTCCAGAAGCATCCTGTGACCCATTCTGCAAGCCTCATGCCATCTGAAGGTCAAAATTTCAACACATGAGAAATATCCTTGTGGAGAGGAAGTTTATACTTCTGTAAGCATAGTTCCAGCTAGCTCATGTCAAAAATGAAGTGATATCTTTTATTAAAAAAAAAAAAAACTCCTTCACAAGTTTTAAAATCAAAATTACTTTTTTGATGTTTAAATTAATGAACAAAATGTTTTTATTTTTAAACTGCATTGCAAAACATTTTAAATCATACAGAATTTTGCCCACTTAGTATTTTTAGAATTTTAGTAGTCTAGAAAGTCCATCTGAGGACTGAGACAACATTCATTTTTTACTTTTTTTACTCAGAAAAGAACTAAAAATCAGTTTCACCTGTACTGCTCAGCATTAGTCTCAAGGTAATTGTAAATTTCCTTTGAGGAGCTGGAGTGGACAAAAAGATGTATGAAAGCCCCTGTGTGTTTCTGAGGAAATACAATGAGCTAAAATGCTGTTACCAGTCTGCCCTCGTTTATATGCAGCTGTCACATTCTACCTCAAGTCTTATTGAGATCAGTGGGAATTCTGCCATTAGCTTCATTAGGACTTGCCCTAGACACCAGCTGCTATTTTGTGTACACCACTGGAGTTATTGTAGTTTCCACCAACTGATCATTCTGAGGACTGGATTAAGAAGAGATTTTGGTAAAGACTGATGAACAAAAGCTGATGATTTCTTGGGTTTTGCTTTGGAGTCAGGTAGTTGTATGCCTTTGGATTCGTGCTGTTCCATTTTGAAAACCTGTCTCTAATGTGTTGTTTTCTGATGAATACCAGAGCCTTGAATCATTGGCATATACAATTAAAATCATTAAAGACAAAAAAAAAAAAAAAAAAAAAAAAAAAGCCCAAGTACAGGTAGATAATGTAATTTAAACACGGACTGGACTTTGTGTGACTCTTTCCCTCTCATTGGGAGGAAGTACAAAATAACCACTCCATAACAAAACAATATTCTATACCAAATAAATAACCAAATGTACTTCTGTGTGCTGTCCAAAAGACTCTGAAATGGTATTTCAGTGTCATGGATGTGAAGGATGGACTGTTCGATGGATTAGGAATTGGCTGGCTGGATGTAGCCAAAGAACCATTGTGATCAATGCTTCTGTGTCAGGGTGGAGGCCAGTCACAAGCAGTGTCCCTCAGGGGTCATGCTT